ATTTGTGAGGATAATTTTTAAACCAAGGTTCAAACTGTTATTTGCAAACAGACTTTTGGGATAGTCCAAGACAGACCTTCAAGATTCTACTAGCTGTTTCCTTGTATCTATGGGCTGAAGTTAATATTCCCAGCCTTAATGGAATGATGCTGCATAACAAAGCCTTGTTTCCAATGAGATTACCAGGATAGTAACCTTATATGACCATATAGCTGTTTTTTCCCCATAAAATGATCTATCTTATTGGTGTAATATTTCTGATTGTCTTCTCATATGCAAATGTTGTGCTTTATATGGATTCAGCATCAGTCCTAGGCTAACTTAACACATTAGTAGTTGTGCTGGTACAACTGTACCAGGAGCTCCAATTTTGTTTGCTTTGCATTGAATGTTTGTTGCAGTCCTAAGTTTCAGGGACTCTGCAGATAGGTGGCTTCTTTCGGCTGCAATCATAGGGCAAGCCACCTGTCAATTATAGTTAGGTTCCCTGGTCCTGCCCCTTTTTGAGTTTTGGAGGGAATAGGAGCCTTTTTGAGTCAGTTCTCACAGAGAAGCCTTTCGCACAGGACATAAAATGAAGAGCTCCTGTAGAAAGCTTCGTCTTCTACAGCTTGGCCGGGGAGATATACAGCCTACAACCTACAGCTTGGCCGGGGAGAAAAGGCCCCACAGCTTGGCTGTGGATTTTGGAGCCTTACAGCTCCTTTGCTGAGGGACTTCAGCCAGCCATCACAGCAACCTGAACTCCTTCTTTTTCCCTGGAAGTCTACAAAGCTCTGCTTGGTAAGGGTCGCTCGCGGAAGCCAGACGCAGTTGGTACCGGGTGCAGGGGCTCCACGCCAACAGAGGCAAGTACAGACTGCCCAGATTAGAAGTTAAGGATTTCCCCATTAGTTAGTTTACAGTTATGAAGATAGTGCCTGTTCCCAGTGAACAAGATTGCAAGAGCCAATAGACTGTTAAGAAAGCTTTAAAGTACCTGTTTGTTTTTCATCAATAAAGAACTTTGTTGGACTTACTTTAAGCTTCTACAGAACTTTGTTTTGGGGAGGTCCAAGGGCCTTTAATCTGAGGCATACCCGGCGTCCTGTTGGGCACACAGAATTTATGTCCTGTCTACAGTCATATGCACAGGCCCAGCGTGTGACAGCACAGTAGTGTTATAAATGGGTCCCTTAGAGCCTTTCTATTACAAATACTTTGGACAACAAGTTTTGTGAATCAGAAGATAACTTTAACACTGGCACAAGTTAGATGCCATATTTTAATAAATCTAAATATTTGATAGCTATTGCAATCTTGAGAATTGATCCACAATGTCTTACTGGGGATAGTGGCATGAAAACTAAATAGTTCTAAGAAGGGTGAAATGTGTCATGCAACCCCATCTTGTTTATTGTGTGTGTATGTGCCACAGCATTTTCAGAATCACAACAACGCTTCCAAAAAATATGATCCATTTAGGAAAGAAACAAATCTTGATAACTATAAGCAGAAGCCGTGATTTGTGATTATATTTCCATTTCCTCTTAAATTGAAATTCAGGATGATCAACGTAATAACAGTGTATTTTTCTCTTAGTACACAATTGTGGATGTACAGCATATTTTTGTCTCTGTTTAACATTTAATGTGGAACCAGGGACCAATCCCCTGATGCATTTTTCTTCAATCCGTTTAGCTTTAAAAATATGAGAGAAGCTTTGGGTTCAGTGAAACCTATTTAATATGAAACGAACACCCTTGTACATCTCCCGGTTGCTTCTATTCATCTGTAGTTCTTCACAAATTCTCAACCAAATGTACTGCAGCGGATCCATGGTTGGAAGAAGCAACATGAATATAAAAATGTTCATTAGGAATATCAGTATTCTCCTAAATATTTATCCAAGTTGGTTAATTAGTTCCCTTGGAACTGAAGGATTTGGACAGGCACTTTATTAATTTGTTGAAGAGTGCATACAAGAATAATAGTTATGGGTATTAAAGATATTGTCACAATATTAGTACTCAGCCAAAGATACTATGCTGGCACAGGGAGTCTTTTTTTTTTAATAGAAAAAAGATGGTTTACCATTCCACCTAATGTTGAAACTCTTTAAAAGCTTAGAATTTCACTTTCCCTAGGACAAAAACTCTGTTTCCTAAATTTTCAGTATTTAGGAAATCTTGATGACAACAAGGGAATTGTTTAAAAGCTGGATGCTGCCATAGCAATATAAACATCTATTTTTTGTGAGCACGTGAGCAGACAACTATAGCATGCCCCAGTTAATACTTTGTTATTGTATCCATTTACACTGCCATATAATAGTTAGAAACTGCATTATATGGTCACTGTATTTTTTAAATAATTTTTATTAGTTCTTTTTGCTTGTACAGTGAAAGAGTGGGAACAATATTCTAGATAGAAAAGGTGGGAAAAATTAGAGCGGATATTGTGTGATGGGAAGAGTGAGGGGTGGGTAAGAGGGCTAGGTGGGTAGGGAAGGGAGTTTGGGAAGTATGGGGATGGGTAAGGGGGGTAGGAAAGAAGGGGAAGAAAAAGTGTTTGACTCCCGTTCAGTCCACAGGGAAATAATCAACAGTTTTGATAATTCTTCTTGCATTTGCATTGGTCTGAGTTCACTCCCATACGTAGCACCTCAAATGTGCATTATATGGTCACTGTAGACCAGGGTTGCCAGGTGTCCCAAATTTTAAGGGACAGCTATGTATTTGAATAAAATTTCCCGCGTCCTGTTACATTATTTCCTAGGATGTCAATTGTCCTCTTTTTCTGTTATACCCTGCTATGTATAAAATGGGAAAGGTATGACTCAAATGCAAAAGGTGGTGGTGGCAGCAGCATATTTGGGGGTCCCTTTAAGGGTGGGAGTCCCCTCAGAGAAGAGACCACAGTGAAATAATAATTGCCTCTCATCCTCCATTCAGATTTCCAAAATTGGACTAAAAGTATCACACGTTTGATCTGTAATTTTTCTACCGTCCTCCTTGGAGTTGGTGGACTGAAAACTGGAGAGCGGGCACCTGTATCTAAGCCCTTAGGGAATTTCAGCAGGTGCTGCTTGTCACACAGGTAGCAAACAAGCAACATACTGGAGCAATTCCTTCTTCTGCACAACCCTTAAAAGGTGCCCTCTTCAGTTGTCATGTCCCTCATGTTGGCAATCCCTCACATCCTGGCCCCCATGAGAAAGGAATGATTTACCTCCCAGGATGGGATATTACTTGTCCTTGGGAAAATGTAGGTGAGTTCCCAACATTAAACACAAAATTGCATAAATGTAAATACATTAATACTCACAAAGGTGCAATTGCTTTAGGTGTTCTGGTGATAGAAACACCTTATGGATGCACTGTAGAATTAATGTAGTTTGACCCCACTTTCACTGCCATGACTCAAAGCTATGGAATCCAGCAATTGTACAAGGCCTTTTGCCTCCTCTGCCAAAGAGTGCTGATGCTTCTCCAAACTACAACTCCCATCAATTGATGGCCATCTGTCAGGAGTGCTTTGATTGTGTGTTCCTGCCAGGCAGTAGGAGGTTGGACTGGATGGTGTCCTCCAACCCTAGGATTCAATGGATGGCCATCTGTCAGGAGTGCTTTGATTGTGTGCTCCTGCCAGGCAGAATGAGGTTGGACTGGATGGTCTCCAAACCTAGGATTCAATGGATGGCCATCTGTCAAAAGTGCTTCGATTGTGTGTCCCTGTCTGAAAGAATGTGGTTGGCCCTTGTGGTCTCCTTCAACCCTAGGATTCAGTGGATGGTCATCCGGCAGGAGTACTTTGATTGTGTGTCCRTGCCTGGCAGAATGCYTTTGGACTYGATGATGTCCTCCAACCCTAGGATTCAATGGATGGCCATCTGTCAGGAGTGCTTTGATTGTGTGCCTGCCTGGAAGAATGAGGTTGGAATMGATGGCCCTTGTAGTCTCCTTCAACCCTAGGATTCAATGGGTGGCCATCTGTCAGGAGTGCTTTGATTGTGTGCTCCTGCCAGGCAGTAGGAGGTTGGACTGGATGGTGTCCTCCAACCCTAGGATTCAATGGATGGCCATCTGTCAGGAGTGCTTTGATTGTGTGCTCCTGCCAGACAGAATGAGGTTGGACTGGATGGTCTCCAAACCTAGGATTCAATGGATGGCCATCTGTCAAGAGTGCTTCGATTGTGTGTCCCTGTCTGAAAGAATGTGGTTGGCCCTTGTGGTCTCCTTCAACCCTAGGATTCAGTGGATGGTCATCCGGCAGGAGTACTTTGATTGTGTGTCCCTGCCTGGCAGAATGCATTTGGACTAGATGATGTCCTCCAACCCTAGGATTCAATGGATGGCCATCTGTCAGGAGTGCTTTGATTGTGTGCCTGCCTGGAAGAATGAGGTTGGAATGGATGGCCCTTGTGGTTTCCTCTAACTCCAGGATTCAATAGCCATGACAGTTAAAGTATCAAACTGCACTAAAGCTGGCAGAGTTTAAAACAACTTCTGCATCTACACTGGGATTAATGCAGTTTGATGCCACTTTAACTCCAGTGGCTCAGTGCTATGGAATCCTGGGAGTTGTAGTTTAATAGGCTCCTCATCTACCTACAACTGCCCGGATTCCATAGCACTGATTAATAGCAGTCAAAGTGGCACCAAGATTCATTCATTGTACAACGGAGGTGCACCTTGAGTAACAAGGAATGTGAAAGTTAAAGTATTAAAGAAAACTGTGATACTGGGATTAAAATGAGGAAAGAGGTGGATGGAGATTGAAAGCCATGGTTTCCCTTATTTATTGGTAGCTGAATGCCTTTGTCAACAATCCATCTGTGAATGTAAGGGAACCTTCTGTCATTCTTCTGCCTCATCTCTTTCTCTCTCTCTGTGTGTACGAGAGTGGCTGGAGGCATATCCCCGCCTCTTCAAATGGGGAAAGAAAACTACGCTTCCCACAATGCCACGGGAGCCAGCGGCGCGCGGAGAGATGGCAGTGCGCAGGCGCGCATTCCGGAACGCCCGCCTCCTCGGGCGGCCCCCGGCGCTGTGGTTGGCTGTCAGGCGCGTCGCTCAGAGTGAGTTCGAGGGTCAGAGGGCGCGGAGGTGAGTGGTTGCTGTGGGGACTCGTGGTGCGGAGGGACGGGGTGGCCGGGTCCGCCGTGGGGGGCGGGGGCGCCGGGGGTTGGCGGGGCGGGGGCGGGGCGGGGGCCCCGGGCTCGAGGGGCGCGCCGGCCCGGCCTGCAAGGGCCCCGAGGCCACGGCGGGGGCGCGGCGCTGGAGAAGAGCCCCGGGCGGCCTGGGCTGCGGGCAGGGATGGGCTGCGCGGGGGCGCCGGGCCCCGCCAGCCGGGTCATGGAGCCCCGCGGAGGGGGAGAGGGCTCCGGGAGGCCGGCCTGCCTGCCAGCCGGGAGGCACTCAGGCCTGCTCTGGAAGCTGTAGGCCGGGAATAGGATGGCTGAGGCTTGAGGGAGGGGTCTTGATGCGTTTGCGGCAAGATTTTGTGTGCCAGTGAAGGGCTATCATAGAGTCCTAGAGTGGGAGGAGACCACGCCACATTCGGCCAGGTGGGGACACAATCAAAACACTCCCGACAGATGGCCATCCCTTGAATCCTAGGGTTGGAGGAGATCATCCAGTCCAACCTCATTCTGCCAGGCAGGGACACACAGTCAAAGCACTCCTGACAGAAGGCCATCCATGGAGTTGGGAGGGACCACGCCATCCAGTCTAACAGCATTCTTCAAGGCGTGAATACCCACTTTAAGCATTCTTGACAGATGGCCATCCATAGAATCCTCGACTGGGAGGATACCACGAGGGCCATCGAGTCCAACCTCATTCTGCCAAGCAGGGACACACAATCAAAGCACTCTTGACAGATGGCCATCTATTGAATTGTAGAGTGAGAGGAGATCACAAGGGCAGTCCAACCTCATTCTGCCAGGCAAGGACACACAATCAAATCGCTCTTGACAGATGACCATCTATTGAATCGTACAGTGAGAGGAGATCATGAAAGCCATCCAGTCCAATCCTATTCTGCCAGGCAGGCACACAAATCAAAGCAGTTTTGACAGATAGCCATCAATTCAATCCTTGAGTGGGAGGAGACCATGAGGGCCATTCACTCCAACCTCATTCTGCCAGGCAGGGACACACAATCAAATCTCTCTTGACAGATGGCCATCTATTGAATTGTACAGTGAGATGAGATCATGAGGGCCATCCAGTCCAACCCTATTCTGCCAGGCAGGCACACAAATCAAAGCACTTTTGACAGATGGCCACCCATTGAATCCTAGAGTTGGAGGAGATCACGAGGGCCATCCAGTCCAACCCTATTCTGCCAGGCAGGGAAACACTCAAAGCACTCCTTGACAGATTTGCCATCCATTGAATCCCTGAGTTGGAGGAAACCACGAGTGCCATCCAGCCCAACCTTATTCTGCCTGACACGGACACACAACTCTGTCAGGAAGGACATGCAATCAAAGCACTCTTGACAGATGACCATCCATAGAAACCTAGACTTGGAAGAAACCACGAGGGCCATCCAGTCCAACTCCATTATACCGTACAGAAACACCTAACCAAATCGCTCCCAACATTCAGCCTCCAAAGGAGGAGACTGCATAATTCTCTGAGGCAACATATTTCATTGCTGAGCACCTTATACTGTTAGGAGGTTCTTCCCAAGGACTCTTTTCCTGCAATTTGAATCCATTGCTCCATGGCCTAGTCTCCAGAGCAGCAGAAAGCTACCCTATCATCAATGTGACATCATTTGAGATATCCAAACATGTTCCCTCTCAGTCTTCTTTTCTCCAAGCTAAACTTACCCAGCCCCCTAAGCCACTCCTCGTATGACTTGGCTTCCAGATCTTTGACTATTTTGGAATGCTGAGACGCAAGATTGTCCCAACTTCAAAGAGAAGGTTGCAATGGTTAGAAGCAAGACGTTAAGTGTTTTGGTGGGCCAACAAACCTCTCCAACTCAGGTTGGAGTTAGTGGGTAAGGGAATGTTCCAGAGAAGAAATGACACTTGATCCAGAAATGTACAACTTGTTTGGTGTACACATATTGAGAATCAGACATTTTGAACTCAAGGGTGATGAAAAAATTTCACAGTAGAAACAATGAGAGATGGGTAATTGGCGATGGTCATTAAACTTCATGAATAAAATGGGTATGCAAGAGACAACAAATTTCCATGAGCTACAAGCGTATCATGGAATCCTAGGATGAGGTGAAATGAATCCTGCCCATCTTCGAAGCAGATTTATTTATTTATTTAAAACTTTTATATCCCAATCTTCTCTACCTCCATGGGTGTACAAGAAAGAGCAAGTATCCATGAGCCACAGGCGTTTCATGGAGTCCTAGGGGATGAAGTTAATTCTGGCCATCATTTAGATAGTTGGGAAACAGGTATATAGGTAGAAGTCAAATATTGTGATTGATAGGAGCAGCCATATGTTTGGGGGAAAATTTTGATTCTGGAGAAACACAATTAGGAGACTGTCGTCAGCCATTTAGACTGAATGATTTCCCAGGAAGTCACCCACTGAATTCAAAGGGATCCATTATTTGAATAAACATTGTTAGGAGAATCGCTCTGTCAGTGTTTGGCTTCACAGTGTGTACTGTTGTCTTTTTTTAAAAAAAAGAAAGAAAAAAATAGAAAGCATCAACTGTTTTTCCAAATCAAAACTGATCAAGAAATGCAAGTTGACATTGAATTTAACTTGCCAAAGTAGTTATATAGGTACAATAGGTCTTTCATAATATGAACCTCTTTGTTCTTCTACTATTTGTTCTCCTTCTAACTGTTCCCTGACCAGCACTTCAGAGACTTAGAAGGAATTTGATTTGTTAGCAGATAAGTTTTTCAGGAAAACTCCTGAAGTTTATAGAGCTGCAATATTAATAGTGCATCTTGTGATCTGCTTCATACCTGTGTCCTCTTTATGCAAGTCATGGCTCTCACTATTCTAACTTTTAGTGCCAGCATTTCTAGAAAGAAGAGGCAGTGCTTTTTTGTATAATGTGCAGTAATAATTTTGTTCTTCTTCCCCTTTGCTATTTTTGATTTAAGTTGGTTACTTTTGCAAGGTATTATCATGAATTCATTGGCTTCCAGGCTTTTTTTTTTTGTAGTATGGCTTTTGCATTTGCAAATGTGGACACTCAGTTCATATTTGGATCACAGCATTTTGTTGCTTTGAATTTGAAATAGCCACCTAAAAATAAGAGAAAGATAATTGTGACTTTGAAACCAACCACTTTCTCTGGCCATTTATGGTTATAGTGAGTAATTATAGCATACAGTGCCTTTTAAAAAAAATAGGCACTTCTTGTGGGAAAAAATATTCTGTGCTGCACAGCAGTTGCCTTACTGATAGTGAAAGATGCTTCATATGATTGTACTTACGTCATTGTATTTATACTTACGTATCGTCTGTATGTGGCACTTGAACTGCTTCTGTGAGCTGTCCCAAGTCCCCTTGGGGAGATGGTGGGGTACAAATAAAGATTTATTGTTATTGCTGCTGCTGCTGCTGCTGCTGCTGCTGTTGTTGTTGTTGTTATTATTATTATTACTACTACTACTATTATTATTATTATTATTATTATTGAGAAGTGATATACACTCTGAGCTTAATACCATATGAATTGGCTGTTTTACTCTTATTTAGGGATATTGTTTTAGATACTGGAACTGAATAATAAGCAAGTTCTAGGTCATCACATAATATAACAGCATGATTATGACTTCATCCACATCATTGTGGAAGTTATATTATTACATGTGCCAAAATAAATAAAACATGTAAAAATTAATGTGCAAGTTTATTATATTATCTCCTTGGGTTTATGTTCCATACAGGAGGGGAGAAAGCCATAATTAAAAATTAGTGCTATGAGCCTGCCATGTTCTACTTTTGAGATGATAGAAGTGAAAATCGGTTCCTATTGGAAATGAAGGGATTTTATAGTTGCTTCATGTTTGTTTGAGACAATTTTGGCCCAGAATGGAGACCCCCCTCCCTCAATTTTTTCTGTTGAGAATCATATTCCCTTGGGAACCATATAGTGATAAGCGAGGATTGAAGATAATTGTCATTGTATAACTTTGATAAGAGAGGATTGAAAATAAGATGGAGCTGTGGCCCAAGTGAGCAAGAATATGCTCTTCTCTCTATGTCTTTTCTACTCCTCCGTCTTTCTTTTCCTCCCCAGTGTGGCTGTTTTCAACCAGCCACACTCAGAAGGATTTTGAAATTAAACTAAGCACTTGAGCTGAGGCTAAGAGTTGCATATTGACCACCCATTCCTTAGGATGTGTTAATGTGGTTCTTCAGTGCCATTACAAACCAAAACTTTCATTAGTATCAGTAGCTTGATCTTTAACCATTAAGATATCATTTGCTTTCTTCCTCCTAAATCTCTTTTTATGATATTCTGAATGACATTATTGATGGATAGCTAGTGACCAGGATTCCTTTTAGTTTATCTAACCCAGTGATCAGGACAACATCCTTGGATCAGTGAAGTCATTGAAAAATACAGTCAGCTCTTCACTGTCACATGTTTCTCTTTTGCAGATTTGATTATTTGTAAGTTTATAGCTACTGTTTAACTAGCTCCACCTCATCACCCCAATCTTCCTGCTGCCTCAGCTCACCGCCATTCTTTCTAAAAGCAACAACCTGTCACTCCCTTCCACACCTCACCATCTAAGCCTCATCAAGATGTTAAACTCTTTCCTCCATTGCTCTTCTTTCTCCTTCCCATTGAAGCAACACCCATGTTTGAAACTCTTCTCTCCATTGTTCCCCTCTTCATCTTCCCATCAAAATAATACCCTGCTTCCTCTGTTTCTCTTGTACCCACCTCTTTATTTTCCTATCAAAGCAACACCTAGGTTTAAAACTCCTTTCTCCATTACTCCTATTCCCACTGAAGCCTCATCCAGATTTGAAACTTCTTTCTTTGTTCTCTCTTCCCCACACTCCGTTGGCTATCATCCCACCACAAAGTTTCAGCCTGAGTTGAAAGCCCTTCCCTGTTGAATTGCCTTTTCCTCCACTGGCTTCTCGCC